TAACTCAGAAACCAAAATTAGCATGTTTGTTTTTTCAGCGTTTTGTTTTTTTCCATTAAGTGTACACAGCATTTTCAAGAGCACTATCATAGGCAGAAGTTCATAAGGATGGAGATCTTGAGCAGTTAAGTTAGAGGATAATTCCTTTAAAATTAATCTTACTGTAAATCTAACTAATGGTTCAAGGCACCAAGTGAAATTGCATTGCATAATGCCAATTTTTAAGGACACTCTGCCTCAGAGGACACCAGTGAAGAAGTTGTGGCACATCTCTCACTTCAAGTCTTCCTTTGCTGTACTGCAGTTCTTTGGGCATTTGCAAAAGCTGACAGTTCAGTATTCACTCTTCAGGTGAAGTCATAACGAGCTCTTCTCATTGTACAGCTTTCTACAGTAGGGCAGTTAACTAGGTGATGATGGCAAAGTGGGACATCTTATAGACAAAGAATTTGTCAAACTTCATTCCAACAAGAAGTTGAAAGAATGTTACATGTTAAGCCTGATTTTATTTTTTTAAAAATATGCAAAGCTACAAAGGAGTGGGAAGAAAACCTACACATTTAATACTTCAGATAAAATATTTCTTAAATCTCTATTCCCCTGACAGGTGATAATTATCCATGTAAACACCCTAATAGTCTAAAGAATTTAAAAGAGGAGGAAACCTTACTAAATCTGATTTTTAAGAAGCACTAGCTAAGTAAAATACAGCTAGATAATCAATGCTATCTTATAAAAAAGGACAACTCCTAGGCCTCTGGCCTGGATAAACTATTTTTTCCCTTTCCAACATATATTTGCGTACACATCTATACATGTACCAGCAGCATTAGTAAGAAAGCCGTCTGCCAGCTCCCATATGCAGAGGCTCTGCCACTTCAGGCCCTCTCACACTGGAGAGCTGGGGACAGGAAAGCAAAGATGCTCTTCAGCCCCAGCTCACCTGGTGAGGGAGGAAGGAGCACTGCAGTACTGCCACCTGCAGTGTCCCCTTGGCAGGTACAATCCACAAAAGACCATGTCTGTCATTCTAGCAGTCTAGCACCCATACAGAAAAGCCAAAGAGATTTTCCTGTGTCCTCCTGCTATCCCTAGGTAAAAATCTACCTCCTACTCAGCATCTTAAACAGCTCTATGCCAGTTCAAGCATAGGCCATTTGTTTGCCCACTCTTCTTTAGATAGAGAATCTTACCACACTTTGTTGTTAATGTAGAAGTCTTTTACACCAAACTGGAAGATACTTCTATTCAGGTAACTTCACAGTAAATTCACCTATATCTTTTTTGTTTTGAAGGAGTTTTCCCAGTAGCAAGGGGAGGGATTTCCCCTCTCCCAAGCAGAAGCCAAGCCAACAAGACATGCACTGAGTTTTCTTATCACTATATGCAAGTTAGGGATTCTTACATGCTGTTTGCCTCTCTTGAGTTTTCCATGTTTGGGAAGAACTGATCTTTCCAGGACAACTCAAATGAAAAAAAGTAATGGACAAGCAAGTGGGTAAGTAGAAAAATCAATCCATGCACAGAAATACGCATTTCCACTATCTCTTAAACAGAACAGAGCCAAAGAGCTTCGCAGCAGCAGCTTCTTCCGAAAGAAAAGCCACAGAAAATGTTTTACCTCTTCTAATATACAATTGGTTTTCACACTGAAGTTGCATAATTAAATGAAGTCAAAACTTCACAGGCTACCTGCAATACAAATAAGCCTGTTTACATCACAAATAAATCATAAATTATGCCACAGAGGGCACCATCCAATATGTGTATGTATATCGCCTAGTAGAGAGGGGTTCAGGTCATCTAACAAACCTAAACATGCCTTCAACACCAATGCACACCCACCCCACAGTTTTAGGATTCAGGTCAAATCAGAAGGCAACACAAGTGGCAGCAGGCTAGACAAGACTAAGACTGCTATGACTTGCTTTGGAGATATGGATCTGAAATTTGATCAAGATAATTTGCTAATAATTCAGTGAAGTATTCCATAGGATGTTCTTTTTAGAAAGGTATCAGATAATAGGTTTTAATATTGCTACCTGTACAGAAAAACTTAAGCCAGCATTTCGCAAATTCACCTTCTCAAAATATTTTATTTCAAGAAAACAGCAGGTGGCATCCCCTTTTAGGGATCAGAGGAATTTATCCAGTGACTAACAGTCTAGTACAGAAGCTGTGGATCAGAGCTGTGTGTCATGGCCCCAATCTAGAACATCACACATCAGGATGAGGACAATTCCTTCT